GAGCAGGGAGCCCGATGTGGGGCTCGATCCCAGGACCCTGGGATCATGACCTGAGCCGAAAGCAGACGCTTAACGACTGAGCCACTCAGCGCCCCTGCTTTCTTTTTCTGAGTTGCAGATTACAAAACAATTCTAACTAATAGAATATTCCATTAACATTCTCATAAATGAGCAACAGTCCTCCATATATAGCTCCTGCTTATGAGAAGTTTGGTGTGGTCATATTTCAAGGCTGCTTTGCAGAAAGCTTTATTTTACTTGCTACAATTTGAGAATAAAGATTCTGATTCTGTAGTTTACTTGCCACGTAAGCCAAGTGCCTTTAGGGTTCAAATTTTTATCTTTTTTTCCCCAGTCTTAATCTTTTGGGTAGTAGAAAGAACATGAACGTCATGAGGGCCAGAAAGACCTGGATGTAAATCCCAGCTGCTCCTCTTTATTTGTATTGACTCATGGTCTTGAATAAATTAATCTCCCAAGTTTCAGTTTCCACATCTATAAAATGGGGGATAAAACACCTCAGGGGGGTGGCTATATGTTAGGATTATGTGAGATACCACATGTAAATTATCTGGTACAGAATTTAACTTTGTGGAATCGTTGATCCACAATAAATGTTAGCTTCCTTTTCCCTGAAACAAAATGAAGTAGTGGGTGTGAAATAGTTTTCTGAGCTGCACATAAATAAGTGTAAGTTATTAGCATTGCTTTCTCTTTTAGAATTGGGCATTAATAGCATAGTTTATAATCTCAGTATTATTAATATGCTTGCTGAGGCCCTTAAGTGATAGGCACATGCTAAGGTTTGGTGATCCTTAAAGATTTGTGTTTGTTCTTGCTCCAGAAACTTTGAAAGCCCTTAGAGAAATCCTGCAGCAAACTCACATGATTGTATGAAACAGTTGGCTGATTTTTAGTCTTAATTCGAATTCTAGGGCAGATTCTTAGTCTTCGTACCCATTTATATGTGAAAACCAAATAGGCATTTTACCTTCTTTTTATGCTATCCAGGCCCTCCCACTTTGCCCTACTCCTCCTTTCCTCCAGGAAGAACTTTGAATCTCATGGGATTTCATGAGCATAACACATACCCTGGCTTCTTCTGTTTATGTTTCTAGTTGGATTGGCTGTGATAATGACCTTATTAGTAAATGTAACTACATGTCTAAATTAAGCTTTTGTACTGTGAGTTTAAGAGGTACAGGGTCAAGGACGTGAAATAATTGAACTCCAAGGACTTACTACAGCCTAATTTAGAGAGAGAGTGATGATTTCTGAAAGTTTTTACCACTCAAGAACATTTAAATGTTATCTGTCAAATATTCATTAAATATTTATGTGCATAGCATTTTCTAGGAACTCAAGGGATGTAAAAGAAGTATGCTCCAGTCCTGAGTTTCTTGCCTTCCAGGTTAGTCTAGTTAGAATTCACAACAACTCAAATATTGAAATGTCAGACGTTTAAGGAACTTAAATGCAAAACATTACCAATGATATGTGCTATGAAAGTCAGAGACTTTGTCCTATTTATTTCATACAAAATATGGTGAATTTTGGTTTCCTCACCTGAAAAGTAGATACACAAATACACCCTTTGAGGTCATTGTGATGTTTAAATGAGACTGGATATGTAAGACCCAGCTATTATACATAAAATCCACATATTCTTTCTGCAGTTTGGTCTGGTTTTAATGAAAAAGTGATGTATTGTAAAATGGTATATTTGAAGTAATAAGTAAGAATTGCATACTGTAAAATGATATATTGTAAAAAAAAAATACAGGCAGGGGGCGCCTGGGTGGCTCAGTTGGTTAAGCGACT